CTGTCTGGCAAGCGCATGCGCCCTATAGTGAAAATCTCTCCAAAAAATAAAAATAAAAAAAAAAATAGAGGAGAAAGTAAGAACTCAATCAGGGCCAGCCAGTGGCATGATGGTTATGGTGGCTGGATCCCACATGGCCAGTTGTGCTGTTCAAGTCCCAGATCCAGTGGCTTGAAAAACATGCTGGGCACATGTGCATGTGTGCTCAAAATCCCAAGAAAAGAAATTGCACCATGTCCCTCTCCCCTGGGGGGGTGATTTCTCACTTTCTCTCAGTTTCTTTTTCCCCTACCCCAGTCAAGTGCACATGCCCTATAATAAAATTTCTTTTTATTTTTTTTTGATATGTTTTTGCTATAGGGCATGTGCACTCACCAGAAAGACAGAGACAGAGAGACAGTGAGAAATCACCCCCCGGGGGGATGGCCACACCACAATCCCTTCTCCTCCATTCTCCTCTCGGGATCTTGGGCATGCACACACAAGCACCTGGCATGAGTTTAAGCCACCAGGTCTAGGACTTTAACCACGGTCAACCACATGGGAGTCTAACAACATAGCCATTACGCCAACTGCTGGTCCCCATATAGCAAAATTTAAAAAAAAAAAAAAGGTGGTCAGATCAAATTCTAGATATATTTTATAGGTAGAATCAATGGAACTTCCTGACAGATTATATGTAATGTGTGAGAGAAGGGTGATTAAGAGTTTTGGTTGAGGGAACCAGCAGTTAGCATAATGGCTATGTAGCTAGACTCTCACGTAGTCAACCGCGGTTCACGTCCCGGACCCGGTGGCTTAAAACTCACGCTGGGCACGTGTGCGTGCGTGCCCAAGATCCCAAGAGGAGAATGGAGGAGAAGGGATTGTGGTGTGGCCATCCCCCCGGGGGGTGATTTCTCACTTTCTGTCTCTATGTCTCTCTCTGTCTGTTCGGAGAGCCCTATCGCAAAAACCTCCCCCCCCCCCAAAAAAAAGGAGTTTTGGTCGAGGGGCCAACAAGTGGCATGATGGTTGAGGCGCACTGGATTCTACATGGCTAACCATAATTTGAATCCCGGACCTGGAGGCTTGCTTTCTCACTTTCTCTTTCTCTCTCTGACCAAATTAAAAATAAATAAGGGGGACCAACCAGTGGCATGGTGGCTAAGGCGCTGGACACTTCCACATGGCCAACCACGGTTTGAGTCCTGGACCTGGTGGCTTCCTTTCTCACTTTCCCTCTCTCTCTCTCTCTGTATCTCTCTCTGGTCAAATTAAAATAAATGAAGGAGTAAATACAATTAAATAATTAAATAAATAAAGGACCATCAGGTGGCATAATAGTTGTATTACTGGACTCTCACATAGTTGACCGTGATTTGAGTCCTGGACTCAGCAGCTTAGAACTTATGCCAGGCACATGTGCATGCGTGCCCAGAATCCTGAGAGGAGAATGGAGAAGGAATTGTGGCATAGCCATACCCCCAGGGGGTAATTTCTCACTTTCTGTCTCTTTGTCTCTCTGGCAAGCACACACGCTCTATAGCAAAAAATCAAAATAATTAATTAATTAATAATAATAACAAATAAATAATCCTTTAAAAAAGAGAGAGTTTTGGTTGAACAATAAAAGGATAGTGAATTGAAATTAAGAAGACTATAGGTGAACAGTTTTGGAATAAAGAATAGTCAGTTTTGGACGTGTGAAATTTACTAAGTCTCTTAGATGTTATTGAATGTCAAATGAATATGTTCAGGAGGCTGTATATAATTGTCTGGGAATCACTGACATAGTGGTGAGAGATAAGGGTCCAATTTCATTTTTCTGCAGCTGAATATACAGAGCAAGAATATCGCAATTCTTTTTTTTAATAATTATTTATTTACTTTTATTTATTCTTTTGTTTATTTTCATTTGACCAGAGACAGAGATACACAGAGAGAGAGAAGGAAAGTGAGAAAGCAAACCACCAAGCGGGACTCGAGCTGTGGTCAGCCATGTGGGAGTGTCCAGCGCCTTAACCACCACACCACCTGCTGGCCCCCAAGAGTATCGTAATTCTTAAGGTGGCCTTATCAGAAAAGATTGCAGGGGGGACCAGTAGTTGGCGTAATAGCTATGTCACTGGACTCCCACATAGTTGACCGTGGTTCGAGTTCCGGACCTGGTGGTTTAAACTCACACCGGGCGCATATGTGTACATGCCCAAGATCCCAAGAGGAAAATGGAGGAGAAGGGATTGTGGCGTGGCCATCTTCCCTAGGAGGTGATTTCTCACTTTCTGTCTCTCTGTGCACGTGCCATATACCCTTTTTTGTCTCTTTTGGCCCTGGCCAAATAAAAAAAAAAAAAAAAAAAAAAACTCTCCAATAAATAAATAAATAATTTAAAAATATGTTATTTTCTACTCAAAGGTAAACACATTTTGAGGTTCTCAAATATGTGATCATTACTAAAAGGGCAATTTGCACTTATGTGAAATAAATGCTTTCAGTTCATAAGTTTGGGAGATAGAGAGAAGGAAATAAATTCTCCAAGAAGTTAGGTACATATTCTTCTTTGGTCCACTGACAGGTGGTGGTCAACACATCATCAAGATTAATGCTCAGTTACGACCTTAAGACTTATCTCACCAATACCCTCAATTCAACTATATTTAAGCTCTTCATTACCACTGGCAGAAATGGTGTCAACCTTAAAGGTAAGAGATCTCTTTATAGGTCTGAGTGATGTTTCCCATCTTTCTCATCTTCCCTAATTCATTTGACCTCTTTGGATTAGTAATCAAAGTTTTCTTTAATTTCCAAATTGACTCTATCTTGGCAAATACATCAAGATCTATGAGACATCAGAAATGATTACTGACAGGTTCGCCCTGTGGCCTAGTGCTTAAAGGAACTAGATCCCACGTGGCTGATTGCATGGTTTGAATCCTGGACCTGCCTTCTTGAAAAACAGGCCAGCTGCATGTGCATTCATGTCCAAAAATCCCAACAAGATGGAGAAATGGAAGAGAAGAGATTGTGTTATGACTGAGCAAGCCCCTTTGGGGGCTGCTTTCTCCCTCTCCCTCTCTTGGTCTCTTTCTGATAAACACACATACCCTATGGCAAATTTTTAAAAAGAAAGAAATTAGGACATATTAAGGTTTTGAAATAGGTTCAATCTAGTCACTATTGTCTTTCTAGTTTTAAAAATAAGGATTCTGGGGCCAGCCCCAGGGCCTGGTGGTTGAGGTAGCCAGATCCCATGTGGCTGACCACACAATTTGAATCCCAGCCCATCATTGCATACCCAAAATTGCAAGGGGGTAGAAAATTAGAGGAGAGATTATATAGCGTGACCATGCCCCTCTGGGAGGTACTTTCTCTCTCTTCCTCTTCCTCTCTCTCTGTCTTCCTGGTAAGTGCACATGATCTCTGAGAAATTAAAATAATAATAATAATGCAGATTCTGGTCCAGCCACAGTGGCACAAGCAGGAGGATGCACGATGGTTGAGGTTGCATGACACACCTGAGCTTAGTTCCAAGTTCAACTTAAACAGGCTGGGCACAGTGGTGCACACCTATGGTCTTAGCTGATTGGGAGGCTGTGGCAGGAGGGATCACACTGTGGCAAAACCCTGTCAAAAATATTTATCTTGGGGCCAGGTGGTGGCACAGAGGTAATACGACTGGACTACCATGGAGAGGGTTCTTGGGTCACCTCCCGAGACTTCTCTAAACACATGTGCCCAAAATGTGAGCTGGCTGAGACTGGAGGTGGTTCACAATATGGGACTCCATTGGAGGTGCCTATCTCTCTGACTCTCTCTGTCTTTCTCTTTCTCTCTCATGGTAAGAAATACATAAATGAGTGCCAGCAGGTAGCATGTGGTTAAAGAGGCTAGATTCCCACATGGCAGACTGCAGTTCGAATCCCGGACCTAGCAGACTGCTTTTTCCCTTTCCCGTTCTTTCTCTCTCTGTGTCTCTCTGATCAAATTAAAAAATAATAATAATTACAAATGGAATTAAATAAATAAATCATTCTTTTTTTTCCCTCTTTTTTATTTGGAGAGTTTTTTTTTTTCACTATAGGGCGCGTGTGCTCCTCAGAGAGACAGAGAGAGAGACACAGAGAGAGAGAAAGAGAGTGC